TAATACGCCACTTCCTTTGACGGGAGCAGCCCCTTCTCGGCGAAGGCGGCCAGCACATCCTCATCCACGTTGGAAGGCCTTTCGTTCAACATTGCGCCATGGATCTACGAGCGGATCTGTAAGTTTTTCCTCTCCCTCGCTCTGCCCTCCTCTCTCCTAGAAACCGCCATCGCACACGAATAGGCTTGGCAAAAAGAAGGAAGGAGAAACGGCAGCGGTTGAAGAAAGGCGAAATAATGGGAGGAAAAAACTCTCCCTTCCCCCTATTTAATGCTGAAAGACGTGGCCTGGGTAGGGCCCACCACTACCGCAACCAGGGCATAGGAAACGAGGAGCAGCCACATGCAAATGACCCTCCGCCTTCCCAGGCAGGGTTTAGAGGGGCCCACTGATGGAATCTCCATCAAGGAGAGGCCAGCGAGTCACCCGAGTCGATCGGATGGCTCAGACGGCTGCCGAGAGACAGGTAAGGAGCAGTGGGATGCCCCATGCGGATTATGCCAACTCTGTCATGAATGATGGACCCGGATTCCACTCGGACATATCCGATAGGAGCTCTCCGATCCCATCACTCGAGCCATCGAGGTAACTTGACCAACCACCATTTTACTTTTCCAGTACATAAGCATTCATTCTTATGCATGCATTCATACATCCAAATCATTGCATATGCAATCATTGCATCAAAACGCTTCGCGTCGCGTCACGAAGCGGTGGCCGTCTCATTCGATATGAGCGGCAACCGACCGAGGTTTGAAGGCCGACCCGCGAAGGGCTCGAGGCCGCCTCGCGTCAAACAGAGCCAGGGGAAAAATGCAGATGAGCCCCAGCGGCCCTCGCCCGACCCGCTCAAGAGCGGACAGGGTCATCTCAACCTTCTCATTCGATTATGACCTCGAGCCATTCCCATAGAATCTCCATCGAGGGGAGGCCATCGGGCCACCTGAGTCGCTCTTCGGAACGACTCGAGCATTTGTCGGGAGGCGGGTTAAGGAGAGGTGGAGTGCCACATAAGGGTTATGCCGACCCTGTCACGAACGATGGACCCGAATTCCACTCGGACATGCCTGTTAGCGAGCTCACTGAAGCCCGCCAATTGAACCATCGAGGCAAGTGGCGTCAGCTCAACCCCTCCGGTTGTAGAAACCACGGACGGGGTGACGCAGGAAATCATGCGACCGATCCCGACCGGCCCCTAGTGGCTCGGGGGCTCGAGCCGCCAGATCCTGACTCAGGAACCCGACTGACCGCACAGGTTGCGGTCGGAACGGACACAGGCGAACACCCCGACCGGAAGAAACACAAGAGTCCGTAGCCCCCAAAAAGAGTACCAAGGTGCTCAGTCTCCAACCGACTCCCAGTCGGCCACAGGCTCGGGGGCTACACCCAGCGAGTGCGCTCACGTGCACCCGGTGGAAAAACGGATTACCAGTGAGTCTCCTCCTCAGGGGCTAGGCGCCTATGTCTGCACGGCGCGCCTCCGCGGCCTTCGCTAGTCCTCTCCTTAGGGGCTGGGTGCCAATATCCCTCCGGCGCGCCTCCGCGGCCTTCACCAGTCCTCTCCACGGAGGCTGGGCGCCAGTATCCACTCTGCGCGCCTCTGCGGCCTTTGCCAGTCCTCCACATAGAGGCTTGACGCCTAAATCCTACTCAGTTACTCTACGCAGTACAACAAACCAAGGGGAAAAACACCGAAGTTCCAATAACAACCCGCTTCCACGGCACAATGGGCACAGGAATTATAAAGCAAATGCAAGCTTTTATTAAGCTAAAAACACAAGCCTCTGGCTTTTACAATATCAGGCAAAGCATGTGTGAATAGCGCCTTCACGGCTTCATAGAAGCCCCAAAGGGGTTCGAGGGCTCCTATCGGGTTCATAAACCCGGAGTCCCCAATTGACTCGCTTCCCTACAAAACTCAGTCCAGCAGGCGGCGCAGCGACAGCACGCGCCTAGGCCGGCCCAGATACACAATGATAGGCCAAGACCACGATTCGGTCCCCGACCGGCACCTCCGGCCAGGAGATCTGTCGGAGCCCCGATCGGAAGGCCTGGCCATGGTGGGACCGCAGTCTGACTCCGACCCCTTTCTCCGACCGAGGATATGCCGGGCCTCTGCTCGCTGCTCTTTCCCGACCGACATGGTCGAGGCCGACTAGGAACGACCGACCGGGGATGCCTGCTCGGTGTGGGCCCAGGGAGCAGGCGAAGAAGATAAGCTAAGGCGTTCAAGTCAACCGCAATACCGAGGACCGTACCCTGCCATGTCCTGCGCACCTGCAGGACGGTGCCGTCGGGCCATGTCAGACGAACACTGTACAGCCTACCAGACGCGTCAGAGCATGAACAGTATTGTGGACGCTGACGTTTGCCGTACCAGGCGAACACTGTACATCCTGCCGAGACATGTCAAAGCATGAATAGTGTTGTGAGCGCCGACGTTTACCGTACCAGACGAACATTGTGCAGCCTGCCGGATACAACAGAGCATGGTGGGCGATGGCGGTGTAAACAGTATGGCGGGCGATGGCGGCCATCCCATACCCGATTTCGTGTGCAACAAGACTAGGCAGCACCCGTATACACTCTCTCTCTTTCTCTTTGACTTGTAAGGCCATCCTCTTCAACTATAAAAAGGTATGCGCTCTCTCCCAACGACAAAAGGACTGGAGGAGAGACAGCTCAACAGCTCTAGGACTCGATAGCAAAACAGCTCTAGAACTCGACATCTACACAGTCTACACGCTCTCAACAGCTGATAAGCTCGGACACACATAGCATACGCTCCAATACTTAGCGCACGTTTAAGCATCCGTGACTCTCAGCCACTCGGTTCGGAGTCCGACCGGGCCTCTAACACATCCTTCTCAATCCTTACTTGTTTGTAACCCCACAACAAACTTCGAGCACTTGTACTCAGGAATAAAGTCATCAACCAACCTCAACTGGACTTAGGGTCCGTTGCCTGAAAATGCCTGAAACAGTATAAATCCTATGTCATTGAGTGCAAGGCCATATCCGATCACAACGCACAACAAAAATATAAATATTTACTTGTTGGCCATATTTTGCACCGACACAGTTCGTTTTATTCAAAAATTTTGTATAAATTATAAAATAAATAAATCATTATTAAATCATCTCTAATGATAAAATAACTCATAAAAAATATATGCTATTTATATAAAAAATTTTGAATAAAACGGATAGAACGTAAAAAACGATACTTTTGGGGACAGAGAAGTACACAACACAAACACGCACGTCTCTGCGGTGTGCCGCTGGCTCATGATGGCCGGGCCGGCAGACGTACTACTCCTACGCTGCTTCTGCGACAGGGACAACGTCTACGGAGTACTACCTCCAGCTCGTCGTCCTCTCCTACTAGGCTACTGCTAGCTCGGCTCTCTCTGGTCACCGGGTCCGGCACGGGCGCCCGGCCGGCCGGCCCGGCCCTCTCTATCTCTCCATGTTTTTGTTGTCACTCACCACAACACCACAGCACACCTACCGATGCAATGCAAACGCAGGACGCAGTGCAGTGCTCCCCGCCCGGACCGGCCCGCTCCGCATTTCTTGTCTGCCATTACGCCAACCGCGACGCCCACCTAGCTTCCCCCCTCTCTGAATTCATCAGATCTCTCTCGCCCTTTCCGCCGCGCGCGCAGACCTACTACCGGCTACCCACGTCCCCGCGTCTCCCGTTCCCATTCCCATGCAGCCGCTCGGCTCAGCCTAGGGCCGTGGACAAAATACTCACGGCTCGTTAACTGGTTACTCGTTTTAATTTTTTTATGAGCTAAGCTGGAAATTTAGCCCGCTGGTTTAACGAGCCAGCTCAAGCCAGCTCATGAGTTTGCTCACGAACTGAAACGAGCTGAGGCCTATCAGCCCACGACCATAAATCCAAAAGATGATGATACTGATCTAGAAATGTTAACTTATTCTATTAGTATGTAATCTTTATTTTTAGTTGTTTTATATGGATTTTGATTTTATAATTATCGTGGCACTTAAATATTGATTTATGGATTATTTTATGGGGAGAAGATGATGATGCTGATATTGAATTTATGGACTTTTCTAAACCTGTGGTGGCAAGCAACTAGTAAGTATGTTGGAACTGTTTTTAAATCTATGGTGGCAAGCAACTAGTAAATATGTTGGAACTATATAGATACCAACTATGTTGCATAGTTGATACTTTTGATGAACCTGATGTGTATTAATCATGTATTATATAATAGTGGACATGATCTTTTAAAATTAATGTAGCATAAACATTATAAACATATATGTCCTATTTTTTTTTTATAGCTCACGAACTAAATAAACCAAACTGAGCTACACCTCCGTAATATTAACGAACTGAGCTACACCTCCGTAATATTAACGAACTGAGCGGAGCCGAGCCGCTCCACATCCAGACCTACCTCAGCCTCAGCTCCCCTCCCTGCAGGCTGCAGCTGCTGCTGTCGTGCTTGGACGCTCCCTGGCTGGCTGGCTGGCTGGCTCCCTGCCGCCAGCTGCATGAAAGAATCTCTTGGACAATGCCGTGCTTCCCCCCTGCTGCTTTTCGCACTCCCCGCCCTTCCATTTCCCTTCCCCTGCATTTGTTGCTCTGCTCCCGAGCTCTGACCGCCTTGCCTCATCTGTGTCTCCTCCGTCCCCTCCTCTCTCTGCTCAGCTGAGCCCCCACTCTCTTCTTCTTCCTGTTCTTGCTCCACACGACCACCAGTCCACCACAGGCACCCCCGGACATTGGCGCCGTCCCCTTCATTGATTCCTGCCCATCATCTCCGCCTTCTCCTTCCTGCCATCTCATCTCTCCGCCATTTTATTCCTTGTTGCGCTCCAACCCAAACGTCCTGAACCACAGACCTCTCGCGCATTGGCATTGCTCGTCGCCGAACCACTCTGCCTCCTCTTCCCACCACCAAAGCAAAGCAGCCAAAAGAGCGGCATTTGATCCCCCCAGCCAGCCACAGCCACCCGCAGCCATGATCACGGCGCTGGACCTGTACCACGTGCTGACGGCGGTGGTGCCGCTGTACGTAGCCATGACGCTAGCCTACGGCTCCGTCCGCTGGTGGCGGATCTTCACCCCCGACCAGTGCTCGGGGATCAACCGCTTCGTGGCGCTCTTCGCCGTCCCGCTCCTCTCCTTCCACTTCATCTCCACCAACAACCCCTTCACCATGAACCTGCGCTTCCTCGTCGCCGACACGCTGCAGAAGCTCGCCGTCCTCTTCCTCCTCTTCCTCGCCTCCCGACTTTCCTCTTCTCACTTCCTCGGCCTCGACTGGAGCATCACGCTCTTCTCCCTCTCCACGCTCCCCAACACGCTCGTCATGGGCATCCCGCTGCTCCGCGGCATGTACGGCGGCGGAGCCGCGTCCTCGTCCTCCGCCTCCACCGACGCCGGCACGCTCATGGTCCAGGTCGTCGTCCTCCAGTGCATCATCTGGTACACGCTCATGCTCTTCCTCTTCGAGTACCGCGCCGCGCGCGCGCTCGTGCTCGACCAGTTCCCCGACGGCGCTGCCGCCTCCATCGTCTCCTTCCGCGTCGACTCCGACGTCGTCTCGCTCGCCAGGGGCGAGATCGAGCTCGAGGCCGACGCCGTCCCCGTCGCCGCCGGCGCCTCCTCGCGCGGCGGCGACACCGGACGGGTGCGGGTCACCGTGCGCAAATCCACCAGCTCACGCTCCGAGGCCGCGTGCTCGCACTCCCACTCCCACTCGCAGTCCATGCAGCCCCGGGTCTCCAACCTCTCCGGCGTCGAGATCTACTCGCTGCAGTCGTCGCGCAACCCCACCCCGCGCGGCTCCAGCTTCAACCACGCCGACTTCTTCAACATCGTCGGCGCCGGTGCCAAGGGAGGAGGAGCAGCGGCGGCGGGGGACGAGGAGAAGGGCGCCGGCGGGCACTCGCCGCAGCCGCAGGCCGTGGCCGTGGCGGCCAAGAGGAAGGACCTGCACATGCTCGTCTGGAGCTCCAGCGCCTCCCCGGTCTCCGAGCGCGCCGCCGGCGCCGCCGTGCACGTCTTCGGGGCCGGGGCCGACGACCATGCCGACGTCCTCGCCAAAGGTAATTTTTTTTTTCCAGTCACCACTTGCACTTGGTGTTGCCGTGTTGGTGGGCAGGGCACAGGCACACACCCCTGTTTCTGTTTGGCTCCATTCCTTGTGAGTCTTGTAGTGTGATGTCGACCATTCTTTAGCCAAAGCATCGACTGTTCAGAACTGAGTTTCTTATAGTGCCCACAAATGTTGTTGGTACTAATTTTGCTTGCCATCTTGTGCTTTTAACAAATTCAGAAACTGAAACTTTCTTGAAACGCTAATTTGAATATGTAGCATATTGTGTTTTTAACAATGCTTGATGTTTTGCTTGGCTTTTTGAACTCATCTACAGCACTAGTAGATAATGTGATATGGTTTGCTGAACCAAAATTGTCTGCTGCATCTTTTTCAACAATGGCTGCACAAACAGGAACCCAGGCTTACGACGAGTACGGGCGTGACGATTTCAGCAGGACCAAGAACGGGAACGGCGCGGACAAGGGCGGGCCGACGCTGTCCAAGCTTGGGTCCAACTCCACGGCGCAGCTCTACCCCAAGGACGATGGCGAGGGGAGGCCGGCGGCGGCGATGCCGCCGGCGAGCGTGATGACGAGGCTCATCCTCATCATGGTCTGGAGGAAGCTGATCAGGAACCCCAACACCTACTCCAGCCTCATCGGCGTCATCTGGTCCCTGGTCTCCTACAGGTTGGTGGTCTGGCCAAGCAAGATCATTTCTCAGATCCTCATCAGGGCCATGTTTCATCAGTCAGCCATTCATGCTGTTCGGCTGAATAACTTCTGCCTGCTTGGGGTTGTTGTTCTCTTCTGTGTAATTCAGGTGGGGCATTCAGATGCCGGCGATCATCGCCCGGTCGATTTCGATCTTGTCGGATGCAGGGCTTGGGATGGCCATGTTCAGTCTAGGTGTGCGCTAGTAATTTGTGCTCTATGCTGGCGTTGCTCTATGCTTTTGTGTCTTGGATCACTACAATGCAAGCACTGAATTCTGAATTGCTGCTCTTATTTCAGGCTTGTTCATGGCGTTGCAGCCAAGGATCATCGCTTGTGGCAACAAATTCGCTGCGATCGCGATGGCTGTCCGCTTCCTTGCAGGTCCGGCAGTCATGGCTGCCGCCTCCATTGCTATCGGGCTGCGTGGTGTTCTTCTCCACATTGCCATTGTTCAGGTATGCTGGTGCTTTGTGCCACAAACTAGCTTGCGGCAGAATACTGATAAGAGAAAAGTTAACTTTGAGCATTCCTTCCACATTTCAGGCTGCTCTACCTCAAGGAATCGTGCCGTTTGTGTTTGCCAAGGAGTACAATGTTCATCCTGACATACTGAGCACAGCGTATGATCCATAACATACTACACCTTGCCCTGTTTATCTGTGTCCTTACATGTCTTGTAGTTGTAGTAGTCCTAATTAGGAATCTCTGCCCATGTTTCCTGCTACGCTTTTTAGTTATATAATCTGGAATCATCACTCGTCATAGTAAAAAAAGGAGCAGAGATAATCAATCACGCACTGAATTCTCTATGATTCCTAATGATAGTTTTTGGGACTAAACAAGGGGCCCCATGCACTCAAAGAATTACTCTAAGACAGCATCAGCATGATTGCTCCTAACATGTTGCATTTCATACTACAGTGCGTTCATCCATCGAGATGGGCCATTACATTACAACACAATGATCATATAACACTCCTCGCTTTGCTTTGCTGCAGTGTGATCTTCGGGATGCTCATCGCTCTGCCCATCACCCTGGTCTACTACATCCTGCTGGGGCTCTGAACCTCTCACTTCAGTGTGCAAAAGCAGCACCATGCTACTGACGGTCTCTGTTTAGGACCCAAGACCTTTGCATCATTTTGTTTGGGTAGTAATCCCGCTAGGACCCTAGGTTAGCAGCGGGTAATCCTACCGCTGATAGCAATAGCATCTCTGATGTAGTAGTATCATCTTCAGATGGAAGCATTCGAACCCGAATTCTGAGTTATTGCTAGAGACACGAAAGATAGTTCCGATGACAGGGATCTAATCTGCGAGTGAGGCATTGCTATCTGTCAACTTTCGATCGATTGAAGATTCGAGCAAAATTTATCTTGTTTCATGCTCAGTATAATGTATGGTGCGCTGTCTGAAATCTGAATGAGGCGTAGTCGACGTACTAGTACTACTGTCTGCAGTCTGCTGACGGACAGTGCTCAAAGTAGTGTCAAGTCTACGAATATCTTTTCTGCCTTTTCGTCTTTACCTTTGAATAACATGCACCTGTAGAGATTCCACTTGGTAGTAGTAGGACTGTAGGAATACATTTTTCTAAAGAAAGTACAATAAGAATAACCTTTTTTCTAAGAAGAGCTGTACTCTACTGTACTCACAAATAAATACTCAAGAATGTAATTCTGGCTATCCGAGGAGTTAGGAATTTTAACTTTGACTAAAATTATACAAAAAGTATTAACATTTATAATATAAAATAAGTATCAACAGATTAATAACAGAATATATTTTCATAATAAATCTTGTTTGAGACATAAATATTAATACTAATCACTATAAATTTAATTAAACTTTAGTCATTTTGACCGGGACGAATCTTATAATTATATTCTTTTTGGGACGGGAGGTAGTACGGATTAAGCTGTAACTTATTTGCAGCAAAAAAAAAACAGCCAGCCAGCAGAGAGAAGCTACAGCTGCTGGTGCTGCAAATGAGCTGAAGAAAGGCTTGACCAAAAGGTGACGGCGAAAAATGGTCCAGGAAATGGTGCCGCAGAATATGATATGATAGTGTCGGCCTGTCGGGACTGGGGAGTCAGACTGGGAAAGTTTTGGCTTTGTCCATCTTAAAACAAAAGTTTTGGCTTTTGGCATGCGCACTCGAAGCAGCAGCGATGATACTCCTAGCTAGCTAGCGAAAGCAATGATAAGATACGACCAAGCAATGGCACAACAAAAGCCTGCTTGCGAGTTGCGACTCGATGTCATATATCAACGCACACATGCAGAACACGACAGCTTCTAGTGCGCAATGGCTGAAGCTTTAGGTCACGTTTGGATCGTAATGGATTTTAAGAATCCGTATAATCTGACGTGTTTTTTTGGATTATGATAAAATCATATAGCCTGTTTAGATGGGATTAAAGGATTCTTAGATTTTTTTTAGGATTCTTGGAAGAAAAACAAAATCTTAGAATCGGCCCGTTTGAATCCCTCTTTGGATTTTGGAATCCGGTTCAAATAATCTAGGGTATCCAAACGGAGAGATTTTAGGTGGAATTGCTCAAATCCCAAGAAGGAGATCAATGTTCACGTCTCCGTCGAGAATAGTACAGCCTAGATCAATCGATTTTTCACTCCTCCCGAATCAGGCCGGAGAGATTTTAAATCTACTTAAAATCCAAGAAGGAGATTGTGAAAATCTGAGAATCCACCACAGCCTAGATAAAACTGGAGTTCCACCCAAAAAAGAATGTAAATCTCATTTACCGAGAAGTCAAAGAATCTTTAAGTTTAACTATAAGTTTATAAAAGATGAGTTAAAAATATTCCATAACTAATCTCATAATACTTATTATACATATTATAAATATCAATACTTTATTTGGTAAAAATTAGGAATCTTTGATTCTGGGGATGCGAGGGTTACAGGTAGGACCATCTATCCTATCCATGATATTGCCCTTATCTTCCCTGACGAGGCCCCTACCGTCGCCGTCGCTACGGCCCGCCGCGGCTACCTTGCGCGTCCTTGCGAACCTGCTTCCGATGCGGGCCGTCCCCGCCCCCACGTCCTAGCTTCCGAGTCCGCGGCTGCAGATCCGTTGCATAGTTGCATGTCCCCGCCGTGCTCCGTCCAACTTGGCTGCCGGCGGCTACCCCGCTGTCTATCTCCGACGCCGCCAGCGAGCCGCCCAACCTCGCTATTCTAATGGGCTGCTTCTTTACGGGCGTGTTTGTCAGGTACAGAGGGCCTTGTTTGTTTGCCTGGATGAGGCTTGGTCCTGGCCAGCACGCACCTTAAAGCATCTAGGAGCCTGCCCCCGAGAAACGAAGGTGGAGGTCGTTTTTTGCGGGCCTGGTTCTCTCGGTCGCAGGTTGCTCGATGCCCCTTTCTTGTCTCGCGGTGCCCACGGTGGCATCTCACGCGTGCTGGCGTGCGCCCGGACTAGCCCTCTCCGTCTCAGGTCCTGCCACTGGCGGCGCCGGTGCCCGGCCGCCGCGTGCGGGGCGCACCACCGTCGGGCCAGATCTGCCTGTGGCCTGCCGGACGAGGAGTGGACGACCTCGGCCTCGACAGCGGCGCCAGCCCCGACGAGACGAGGAGGCCAGGACGTCGAGGAGGCGCACGACGTGTGGGTGGCCCTGGATGCGGCGGAGCGCGGCGAGCTCCCGCTCCACTGACCGTCGTACCGCTGCGGCGTCCTCAGGCGAGCACGGGTCGGTAGACCTTCGACGAGGCGCCCCGGCCGAGGATGCGGCCGAGCCCGTACCTGCCCTGAAGGACCTTCGTGTAGCTCGCGCCGCGCACATGGTGGATGCCAGCCAGCTGTTCGGTGGAGTGTCCCAATGAGACAGTGCACGGTAACTCTACCCTATATGGGTCCAAGGTGACCACGTCTCGTAGTCCATGCAAACAAACACAATCCGGCGCGAGACTGGCTCTGCTCGGAAATCAAACAAAACAAGCACGCCCTCTGGTTGCCTGGCCCTCCTGGTGCGACCAGGCTGGAAACGTCCAGACAAATAAACACGCCCTACATGTTTGGGCCTATAACTCACTTTTGGCGTCCGTAACATTAGGGGGCTGTTCGGCTCGCTGGCCGGTGGCTGGCTGGCCAGCCTCATGAATGAATCTGTTAAGTGTAAACAGTGATTTCGCGTCCTCTTAAACAATCAATTGTAAACGATTTTTGGTTTATTTTTCGATCACCATGAAGAAAGGTGATTATGGAAAGGAAAGGAAGTATGAAATGGACAACCAAGAAATGTTTGAGGGCATTGTGGGGAAAGAAACCTTCTACTATCTAAAATCTAAAGCTAGAATCTAGGATCCGAACAGGCAGAGATTATTATTATCAAGAATCCAGATTCTAGAATTTCTGACTAAAATGTAGACTCCTATAATCCCATAGGGATTCAATCAGGCTCCTAATATTCTAGTGGATTTTAACGTGCATGCACAAAAATCCAATAAAATGTATCAGATTTTTTTATCCAGATTCCTAAAATCCACTAGATCCGAACAGGACCTTAATTAGTGCCATCTTGGGATTAAGCAACTATCATCACAAAGGAAAAAAAATGAAAGAAAAAGCTTATGAAGCACCACCATTTTCGTCCAAGTTTTGTTAAGGTGTAAGAGTAGCAATTTATGTAACTACTAGGATGGATTTTTTACGGCAGTGTTAGCGCCCGGACGGACGCTCACGCTTACACTCCGTGTCCCCATGCACACGCCCCGCAGCTGCAACATGTGACTATAGCAAATGGCTACGCCAACATCCAGAAGAGGGGAGAGGGCGGCGAATGCCCAGCCACCGCCGGGAGGAGGAGGAGACACCGAGGCGAAGGTGAGGCAGCAGAAAAGCGAAGACAGAGATGCAACACTCAATCTACTTTTGAAATATTTGGATGCAACACTTGCAACATACATCTGAAGGCAGATGAAACATGCATCATCTAAAACATGCTGCAACACCAGATCTACTTTTGAAATATCCAGATAAAACACTTGCAACATACATACAAAACAGCTGAAACACTCAAAACGTGCATATGAAACACGTGCAAAAAACACCTCAAAACACTTAGTATATGTGAAAACATATGCAACATCCAAATGAAATAATAAGTCTGGAAAACGAGATGAAACATTGGAAAAATACACTTGAAACATACGTATATAGCCACTTCAACATGTTCAACATTCCGATCTACTTTTGCAACATCAAGATGAAACACTAGCAACATCCAAATGACACATCGGAAACACTTAAAACATACTTCTTGCAACATAGTCTTTGCTTGGACGAATGTTGGCATGCCAGCGCGGAGGTCGACGGTGGTCACGACGAGCGGGCAACTCTCGCTGGTGGGGTGCGGGTGTCACACGAATCTCGTCCCCCTCGCCTACTTGTTGGAGCATTCATCGTGGAGGCTCGCCAGCTTTGGTGGAGGCGGTCACGACGAGCGGGCCGACCGCGGCGAGGAGGCAGCACGTTGGAGGCTAGCGAGGCAGACTGGGCCCGGTGGGGAATACGGCGCGGAGGAGGCCATGGGGATGGGGGGCGCGGCGCTGCGGGGACCGGGCGGTGGCGAGGCGGAGTGGGGTGGGCGCATGGGCACGTCATACACGGGGAGGAAACGGCGCAGTGAGCATCAAGGCGCGCGGATGGGACGAGCGGATAGGGTCAATGGGCGAACGGCACCTACGGGAGTGAGCGGTGCATATTCTCCGGTTTTCAGAAAAGAAAAGATATCAGGATTCAGGAATTTGATTCGTCGTTCAATTTTCTGGCTGGTCTTACTCAAGGAGTTTCGTCGTTTCCCACCAGCATTTCTCGCTTTTTGAAGTACCAACTCAAGCCTGGACTAGATTCTGCCCTGTTTACTGGCGACCTTTTCCGTGTGATTAGGAACCGAACCTCTGGCCATGTTTCGTGGTTCCTTTTTCACTTATTATTATTAATATTGTATCATTCGATCTCGATGTTCATCACGAGCCTGACCCGTCACCGCCCAAGCTCGTCGCGGCGCCTCTGCTTGGCTGCTCCTCCAGGCTCCAG